TCTTGATGCTGGGAAAGATGGAAGGCAAAAGGAGAAGAGGACGGCAAAAGATGAGATGGTTAGATAGCATCATTGAAGCAATGAGCATGAAACTGAGAAAACTCAGGGAGACAGTGAAGGACAGGAAGGCCTGGCACAGTATGGTTCGTGGGGTCACAAAGAGTCGGACACAACTGAACTACAACAACAAATATATATTGTTACCCCACTGCTGCAATCAACTGTATTTCCTGCCTTTAAAAAAATAATTATTCTCCTGCTCTATTGGTGCAAAGAGCCCACATTCTTGATAAATTTCAAGTGGTAGGGATATAGCCCAGAAAAATGTGTGTTCTTAACAGCAATGTCTCTAGATTGACAATCATGTCAATTTCAGTTCAAACAATGGCACAGTGCAGCAAGTTTAACCCAGTTTTCTCTTCACTAGGAGTTGCTTTTGAGCAAGGCAAAATCCTTCCTACCCCAGAGACTGTACCTTTTAGGCTGACAAGAGACATAGTCGATGGCATGGGCATTGCTGGTGTTGAAGGGGTCTTCAGGAGGTAAAGCACATAATATGTGATTCCTTGCAAAGCATTTTAGCATTATGTACACTAGAATTTCAGTTGTTACAGTTTGGGAAATTGAGTTGGTAAGAACTCTTTTCATTTTTAAAATGTGGCCCATGGGAGCCGATTGTAAAGTTTACTACTAACTGGAAAAATAAATTGTAATGTTTTGTATAAAAGTTAAAATGGAAACTGGTTTTGAAATTGAAATCTGTTTGGAAATCTTTTAGATGCTGTGAAAAAACTATGAATGTTATGAGAAATTCTCAAGAAGCCTTGCTAACTATTGTAGAGGTAAGCATTTCTTGGCTGCATATAAATTGCTGAAAGTAATTTTTATATTAAAACCTTCCATTCATTTAAATGTTCTTTGGCACGTCGGACCATTATGTCCCATATTCAACATTTTGCATAAGAAACTGATTACTCTTCCACCTCAGTGAATATTGAAATGGAAGTAATATAATATACAAGTAGTACATTATTACTGAAACATGTTAATGTCATTCTGAATTCATGTCCCAATAAATCAGAATTATAATGCAACAAATATTAGACTGACATTCAATCATTTTAACACAAAATAAAAGAAAAAAGCAGCGGGCCAATCTGGAAAGGCATGCAGATAGCTCTTCATATTGTATTGCTTTGCACCTGATGATACAAGGAGATGGTAAACAACAGGATAGGCAACAAACTCCAGAAAACCGACAATATTTTATGAATTTACTATGAATCATGTTGGAACTTTCAATTAAGTGCTAAGAGGCTCTATCATCTATTTATTATCTGTCTGTCTACCTACCTACCTGCCTACCTACCTACCTTGCTAAATTGTGAAGGGCTGTATGGATAACTGCAGAGCCTCTTGAAGCACACGGACAGGGTAGCATTTGGGTCTGTTGAAGACATAAGAACCCAAGCAATGCCCTGCTGGATGAGACCCCCGGCCCATCTAGTCCTGCAGTCTGTTCTCACAGTGGCCAACCAGCTGCACAAAGCTCACTAGTCTCCCAGCAGGTGGTCTTCAGAGGCATCACACTGACATCAAGGCTGAGAGCTGTTGATCCCCTGACTTCCATAAATTGGCCCAACCCTTTTTTGAAACCAACCAGGCTGGTAGTCAGCACCACATCTCACGATAGTGAATTTTGAAATTGAATTACATGCTGTGTAAAAAAAGATTTCCCTTTGTCTTTCCTGATTCTTCCAGGATTCAGGTTCATTGGGTGACCTCTAGTTATAGTTCTATATATGGGAAGGGGAAAACAGCTACCCCTTGTCCACTATATATGAGGAAGAACTTCAATCAAGGGTTGGTTTGTGAGGGAATTGCAGTCTCTTTTCTAAAACCAAGTTGCTGTACTCCCAAAATAAACAGGAAAAAAACCATATACTTTACAGCCATAAAATCCTTGAATGAGCATTTTTCTTCCTGTCAGTCAACAGAAAATAACAGCCAGTAGCAAAATATGACACTTGGGATTGCAGATTGATGCAACATTATCTCTATTTGTTTGATTGGGTTATTTCATGGAACCAGAGTTCAGTATTTGAATTTATGTATTGAACAACTCTGAATTTTGGCCTAGAATGCCAGTTTAAAAATTATGCTAGACAGATAAAGTTAATATAGTGGTGTAAGTGATGGGCAGTGGAAAGCTCTGTTTAGAAACATAATTCTGTGTCCTTTGACATTTAGGTGCTTCTATACGACCCTCTTTTTGATTGGACCATGAATCCTTTGAAAGCTTTGTATCTGCAGCAAAGGTCAGAGGATGAGGCTGATGTCAGCTCCGCCTTCAGCAGTGCTGATCAAGGATGTAACAAAAAAGCAAAGTATGGACAAGTTTTATTATTATTTTGTATTTATGAATTAACCACTGTGTATTTCCTAAAACCCTTGTTTCCTTCTCAGTAATGAAAACCAGTTGTTCAACAAAGTGGCAGAGCGTGTCTTGATACGACTTCAGGATAAACTTAAAGGAATGGAAGAAGGTACCGTGCTCAGTGTGGTTGGCCAGGTGAACTTCCTGATACAGCAAGCCGTGGATCCAAAAAATCTCAGCCGCCTTTTCCCAGGGTGGAAACCATGGGTATGAAAATGCACTGTTGGCTTTTAACGAGTAAAAAACAGAATAGATTTGATCTTCAGAAGCAGCCACAAATCATTTTAATGGTTCCTAATGAAAATAGAATATAAACATTTTACTTGGACAGTGTTGAGAATCAAAAACTTTTACTGTATTGCAGTTATTCCAGTGTAATGAAAGCAGCATCACTGTTGTGCTGCAAGCCCAGCAGCGCCACTTATTTGCCTGCAAGCCGTGCCCTTTTGTTGTGTGTCGTAATGTTGCGTGGCTCCCCCAGGGGGGTAGAGCTTGCAGGGCAACACTGCTTTCATCTTTCGAATGAAAGCAGTAAGATCCTGTGGACGCCCCAGGAGGATTTGTCTTTTGCTTGGATTGGTAGACTAGGAACATGGCTTCTGTGGTCTTACACCCAGAAAAGAATTTCAGGAAATTAACAATGTTATAATTTGCTTTAACAAAAGGAAAATACTTTTCAGCAAGCCCCACTCATTGTTTAAGAATGCCACTGCAGAGTAGCAGCTCTGGTTTCTGCTGCGTTTAAAATGATTGGAAATAGAACTGACTTCAAGCCTGTTACTGCAGTATGCACAGCGGGCACCTTGCCTTTCTCCTATGCAAGGGGTTTCATGGAAGGACTCCCACAAAACTGACAAGAATGTACCCAGGATAAAAATGTGTATCATCCATGCATGTTAGTGATGACGCTGTGTATCCTGCTGTAGAAATATTTAGGAATCTCTGATTTATAATATGTATGAGTTGTATATAATGTTTTGTTTTAAAGCAGGTGAGAAGAAATTATATTTTTTTATATATACTGTATGTGGTTGTGAAAGCAATAACATTTCAAAAGGAAGAAAAGTAGGAACTCAAAATAATAGGTATAATCAGAAATCATTCTATAGTGCTTAATTACTTTTACTTTTCATTACAACATTACTCAAGAATGCACTTCTTTGGCTTGAAAAACATAACCAGGCCTAATCTATCCCACTTCATGCTATAATAATGGGGGGGGGGGGCTTTTCCTTTTTTAAACAAATAAATGTGAATAGATTTCCTACAAGCAGAATAATTCCAGTGTACATTTTAGTTTATGCTAACAAGAATTTTCTATGTCCAACATGTATGGTAAACTTTTTCTTTATTGGAAATGGTGGTCTTATTCTACATTTCATTGATTCAATCCAGTTTGGTAATAAGCTAATCCTTTTTGTCTCAACTTGGATATGTACTTTGGAACCTGGAAGAAATTGCTGAAGGAATTTTTCAAATTAAAATACGTTATAAACATTGATATGTGAAAATGCTTATTTTTTTTTCCTTTGAGGATTCATCTGAAAGCATTTTTTTAATTTGTTTTGTACTGGACTCTGTACTGTTGATGTATTGATATGCTATGAAATGCAGAGGTCCAAAAGAAACTGACTTTTTAAATGTACAATAAAGCCACATTCTTTTGAACATGCATTTGTCTTCATATCTATTTATTATAAGATATGGAAGAATTTTGTCTATTTGCCTTTAAATTGATATGAGGAAGGTATATTCATAAACTTGTAGCTGACAAGATGGGAAGGCTAATCTTTAAGTTGATACCAATAGGAGAGAATATATGTAGCTCAGGGTTGAACTATGGAGTCCTTGGGGTTCTCTGAGCTTGGTTGTTTTCTTGTAAACATTACCCAGCTAGGCAACATCTTCAGTGCTAGCAAGAAGACGTTACCTAGCCAGGTAATGAAACGTTTGCAAGAAAACAACCAGGCTCAGAGATCCCCAAGGACTCCTTAAGTTGAGCCACTCTGTACTCAACTTTTCCTGCTACTGAATTTTTATTAATTTATTTAAATGCTTTACATTTTTTTTATTTTGAAACATTTTTATGAAAAGCAACGTCTTTATAACTTTCACTGTTGTATGGGGAATTGTCTTCAGTACAAAATAAAAATCTCAATTGTAAGGCAAACACAAACATGCAGAATACATGCATGTGTACAATACATTTTCTGAGAGTCCATAGGAGCTTTACACTATAGAAGATCACCTGGATATGGTCAAGAATTGAGCTCAAGCTAGAACACGATTTTTCTGTTTCTACCACACAGTAGTCTGTACATTGCTATATTCACATTATCTATTTCTAAGGTCAATCAGTGCCTCAAGCTGGAAATTGTGATGATCCCCCTCCCACTCCCCTGTGAATGAGAAATGGTTCCATCACTCTGGAATCCCCTGATCTTTTAACTAACATTCCAACTATCATTTCTCTGGTAATGGCTATACACAGAAACACATGGTAGCTCAAGTTGTTTACAGACTGATGTTAAACCTCAGCGGTGACCTCCTTCCACCATTACTGTCTGAAAAAGTCATCTGATTTTGTTATTTTCATATCTTTGCTCACATATATGTAATACCTTAAGTTTCTCTGAATCAAAATAATTAATGATTAAAAATCGACCAATCTTGTAATGCATAGATTTTGGAGAATTAAGAAATGCTACTAATTGTGTATTACAACAGACATCTCACCTATCACAAAATAATTCACTAGGAAACTTTAAAGAAATTTAATTTCAAACTTCTTTAGGTTGATTAAATTTATGTTAATGTGTTAGGGCTCATTAATTAGGCAAACACACAAAGATATTCCATCTTTTTATATCTGGTTTTCATTTTTGTCTTCTGAAGCTTTATGTTGATATTGTTGTGACTGATGAGTGTTCAGTTGTCAGATGTGTTATTTTTTCATCTAAAACTATTAAAGTGAGTTGATAGGTCTCTCTTTTAGTCTACATTCATCTGAGACTGCATTATTTCTTCGATTGTCTGTGGTACCAATTCAGAAACACAGCGTTGTTGAGTAAAGCGGAAACCTAAAGATAAGCATATAAATGAAGAACATTTATATAATAAAACAAAATATTTTATAATATAGCAAATATATTTTCAACCCATTTACAATGGAAAACTGAATTCAAGGTATTTGTTCATACTCCCCAGCATATCTAGAAGGCACTAAATTGGAAAAGTCTGTAGATACACCCAATTCAAATTTATACTCACCCCTTGAATTATTAAATAATCTTGGATAGGCATAACCTTTTTAAAAGAAGAGTTTATTTTCTATAATAACTTGCATAATGGCACATTTGCATTTGCAATGTTACATATTTAGTGTCTCAAATATTGCATTCTGTGTCTATTTTTAGGGGTGAAGTTACAGAACACTGTACTTCTTGAGCTTCTGGAGGAAAGATGGTATAAGAGACAATTCAACAAATAGTGATATACATAATCTTGCAACACATCACACTCTTGCAAATCTTAATTCTTATCAGGTTGACTTCAGATATTTGATCAGGTATAGAGACTTGCTTCTTTAGAAATAATGAAAGCTAAGAATCCAGTGTTAATATCAATTTTTTTCCTGCATTTATAAAATCCTCATATATTTTAGAACATCTTAAAGGAATGTATTGAAATGTTCACATAGCAAATCCTTCTGAAAAAATTATAACTAAGATTCAAACCGTGCATTATATGATCAGCATGGCTACTAATGCAATTCCAAATCACACAATTTGTTCTAATCAGCTGTTCACAGAATACTGGTTAGTTATGTCATAGTTATGGCAGTTAATTAACTGAAGACTTGCTTCCATAACCTTAAACACCTAATTCCGCAGAGGTGCATGGGAACACAGCATCTGTTTGGGATTACAACACCAGCTATTCTGCCACCATTACATGTCAACTGAGCCTCATGTGCTGCAGAAGGAATCTGATTTCTGTTATCCATGTTGCTTACTATCCAATTTCTATCTTTAGATTAAAATTACATAAAGATTGACCAACAAGAGTTTTACCTTGAAAACTTTCTGAATTCTTGCTTGTTCCAATTTCCTTCCATAGTTTAACATATCTAGGTAAACAATAAGCACAGTGAATAAAATGGAGCAGTGATAACCAAATCACAACACATACTTGTAGAGTGATGTATACACATGTCCCTAGTATCTGCTTCTCTCTCTCTCTCTCTCTCTCACACACACACACACACACACACAAACATAATGTTAGTTTATCTCGCAACTCAGTTGTTACAATGTTATAGTAAAAATAGCAATAACAGAATTAAAACAATCCAAATTGCAGAAACAAAACCAAGGTGAAGCAATAAGAACAAGAGGTACAGCTGAGGCTTTTTAAATAACTTCCTATAAGCTACTATACACACACACGCATATATAATTCTTCAAGTATGCATTGTGATTTGGTTGGTGTGTGTGTGTGAGAGAAGAAAGTGTGGGTTAATAACATTTATTTATTAATGTAAATTGCCAGTACATTAGAGATTAAAAGCTTAAAATTTATCATTTTAAAACAGTAAGATTTAGAAAAGTAATAAAAGGTGAACTTTAAAAAAATTACTCGTCATAATTCAACGCATTTGTCCACTTTAGCATTTCATCTACTTCCCATTCCATCACTTTATCTATTCCTTCCTTCTCCAGGGAGCTGATTAACCCTTCTGTTGCTCTCTGAATTAGAACAGTTGTTGCAGGATTCTCAGTTTTAGCTTGCAGATTTTCTCCAAAGTACCTAGAAAGGGAAACATGTATTTTCATAATTGTTACAGCATTCTCACTGAACATAAATATTTGTCACTCCTCCCTTTCAAGGTAAGCAACATAATGCAAAGGGCAGGAAAGAAGGAAGAAACAGAAATTAACAGAATTATTAAGAAATTAAAAGCATGAGGTAAGAAAAGGAAATGCAGCTAAATCTAGTTTCCACCAAAACAATTTATTATACTTCTCCAGAGATTTATGTTCTTGCAAACCATCCTTACTTGTACCACATCCATATACAACTTCACTGCTTTTAAGCCTCACCTCCTTGTTTGGGGGGATTTCATAAACTCCATCCAGCTATGACCTTCTCAGTCTTCCCCTTCCTCTGCTCATTCACTCTTCCTTTATATGCTTTATTTCAGAATTTGATCCTCATCATCTTTTTCATACCAGTTACTCACTTTTATATTCAATCAACATTTATTCTGCACCCTTTCATTCTTGATCTATCCAACTTTCACTTCCATATCCCTAAGGGGGCATATAGCCATTTTCACTTTTTTCAACAAATACTGATTCCTTGCAATAAACTATGTGCTGTGAGTCCTTGGGGTTCTCTGAGCTTGGTTGTTTTTTTGCAAACTTTTCATTACCCGGTGAAGATGTTACCTAGCTAGGTAACAAAACATTTGCAAGAAAGCAACAAAGCTCAGAGAACCCCAAGGACTCTGCAGTTCAACCCTGAGCTACATATATTCTCTTCTATTGAAACTATGTGCTACCCACTTCTTTTCCATTGGCATTTGGCATGCCTTAAAATTTCTCAATTTTCTCCTCTGTAGTAAATAATGAATCTACTTTTGCCATTTATGGATAATTTAAATCCATTTTGCCTGTGAAGCACAACTCTCTTGACCATACAGTAAAGTCCACATCCATACTTACTCCATTATACAGCCTAACATCTGCAAATCATTTGGGTCTCAACCAACAATACAGCCTCATCTGCATAGAGAAGTACACAATTTCCAAATAAAACCTCTCTAACATCATCTCAAGCAGTACAAAGGCATTAAACAACCAAGGGGACATTACATATCTTTGCCTTACTCCCTATTCAATGTTATACTATTTTCTAAGCTTTCTATTTATTCTCACGTGTGCTTTTCTTCCATCATATATTGTTCTTACTGCATTTCACAACCAATTTTCAAATCCCTATTTGTGCAAAACAACTTAAGGCTATTCATTTTTTCTTTAACTCAACTAAAGCACAATAAATTTATTTTCTCACGTTCATAAGTTTTTCAACGACCTGCCGAAGAGCAAAAATCTCTTCTGTTCTCCTCATGTCCAATGTAGAGCAGCACAGTGCTTCCCATATTTTGTCCACTGTTACTCCTCACATCCTTTTGATCAAAATTCTTCCAAATACCCTCACTGTCACATAACAAACTAATCACCCCAGAGTTTTTGTATTAACTCTAAGTGCCTTCCTTTGTAGAGGGAACAATAACCTTTTTAAAGGGACCAGGCACAGGTACATCCTACACACATGCCTTAAACAAGTTGCACAGCCATTCTGTAAGAAAATCAAATCTATATTTAACACTTCTTTTGCTACACCATGTAGAGCACTGTTTCTCAAATTTGGCAACTTTAAGATACATGGACTTCAACTCCCACAATTCCCCATCCAGCATGGCTGGGCAGGGATTCTGGGAGATGAAGTCCACACATCTTAAAGTTGCCAAGTTTGAGAAACACTGATTTAGAGGTACAATGTTCCAAGATTCTCGGAGGATTTATAACTCTTCCTACCAGTTTTTCCTTAATACTACATTTATAGTATCTGTTTCCATTCCACTTTTCAGCACATCACCATTTTTTCTATACCAATCTCTAAAATACTCCCTTCAGCATTCCATATCTTCAGTGTCATCTCAAATCATTTCATCATTTTTATTCCATTCATTTTATTGGCAGCTTCTTACTCAGCCTACAGGTAGTCCTCGGCTTATGCCCATTCATTCATGCCCATTCAAAGTTACGGTGGCACTGAAACAATGGACGTACAACCAACCAGTCCTTGAAGTTCTAGCCATTGCAGCACCTCTGTGGTAATGTGATCGCAATCCAGGCGCTTGGGTGTCCAGCTCGTGATTACAATGTTGCAGGGAGCCACAGTCTTGTGATCACCATTTGCGACCTTCCCTGCCAGCTTCCCACAAGCAAAGCAAATGGGGAAGCCAGCAGAGAAGGTTGCAAGTCGCTCCGATAAGTTACGGCATCTCCCACCCCTCCACAGCACCCCTGCAGCACCTGACATGTATATACAGGTGGTCCTTGTTTAATGGCCACTTGTTCAGTGGCCATTCAAACTTACGACAGTGCTGAACAAGTGGTAGTTACAATTGGTCCTCAAAGTTCCAGCCATCGCAGCACCCCTGTGGTCACATGATTGCGATTCAGGTGCCTTGTAATCAGCTAACACTTACAAAGCATCCCATGGTCACGTGATCACGATTTGCGACCTTCCTTGCTGGAAACCGACAAGCAAACTCAATGGGGAAGCTGGCAGGAAGGCTTAAGTCGCAATCACGCGAGGTCCTCGCTTAATGTCCCATATGGTCCTCACTTATCAATGGCAACCAGGATTGCCGGAACTCCCGTTGCTAAGTGGCACAGTCACATGGTTTTTCAATTTACAACAGTGTCGCTTAACAATGGAGTTTCTGGTTCCAATTAGTGTTGTTAAACAAGAACTACCTGTAGTGTACAATGTATTCAGTTTCACTGTAGATGGCAATATAGTTTTAGTTTCTTTGAAACCATGTTAATAATAAAACATGCATGTGTTAAGTAGCTTTGCATGTACATGGCTAAGTAGCTCTGAAGAATTTTGCCTTACTTGCAAATTGGTTAATGTCCTGATACTGTACATACTTGGTAGCAATTAATTCATGTATAAAATACAGTTCCTAAAGGATGAAAAGTGAAGCACGTATAGTATTTAAACTATCTCTACAACAACAATCTAAAATATCTATGATATATTCTGAGACTCTTTAACTTAAAAAAATTAATCCTGAAAAAAACCTGGCTTATTAAATGATCAGGACTGAACTGCTTGCACAAGAAATTCAAGTGGTTGCCTAGGAAAAGCATGATTTTCAGGAACCACTATTACACAAAGCGTGACGTGACAGATGGACTGCAACATTCCCTGCCATTTAAAGAGACTGTAGCGCATTGTTGTCCAAACTTGGCCACTTTAAGATGAGTGGACTTCAACTCCCAGAATTCTCCAGCCAGCCATGCTGGCTGGAGAAT